CTGGCTCGTCTAGCTAATAGCCGGTTCGATCTACCTTCTGATCAGGCCAGTCAAGCTGATAACTGATGTACGGTAGCTAACGTGCTGATATAGCTGATTGGATGATCGGGTTGTTCCAGCTAAATAGGCTGATTTTGCTTATTGACCGACCATTCACGATGACCGAGCTGACCAGCCGATCCTCTAAATAAATACGTGATCTGGCTGATGTAAATAATGTGGTGATTGAGCTGTTTATCTGAGGCGGCTGATAATGCATCGTGACTTAAGTGATATGGCAGATCTGGCTGATAAACTAACCAGGCTGGTCTACCTGATGAGCTGCTCAACTGGTCAGGCAGGCTGTCTTATCTGGCTGATGCTGCTAGATTGCTGAGCTATCCGGTCTAGTTGATTAGCAGGTTGGCTAATCTGGCTGATTTGCTATATATGATAAGCTGAGTAGCTGATCCAGTTGCTTAGCTGAATGTGGTGATCTGGTTGAAATGCTAGTCAGGCTGATCAGCTGATGTAGTTGGTATGTCTGATTAGCCAATCTGTTTTAATCTAGTTTTTTTACTGAGCTAGCTGGTTGAACTGATCGGGTGTAATCGTGCTGGTCCTGTTGATTAGCTGAGGTCTAGCTGATCCTGGCTGATTAGCGGGTCTCGTTCATCTACCTGATTAGGTGATTTTACCTAGCTGATTGGCTGGACCATCTTTGCTGATATGGCTCATCGTATTGATCCATTTAATATTCTGATCCGGCCGATGATATGATTTGGCTGATCTCGCTGGTCGCTCTGACTGAGATGGCTGAGTAGCTGATCCGGCTGCTGTGGCTGTAGCTGATCTTGATGATCTAGCTGTTGGCTGGTCTGGCTTAGCTGTTGGCTGGTCTGGCTTATTCAGCCGATTGAAGTGATTAACTATATATGACTGTTTTAGTCTATCCAACTTGCTGATCTGGCTGAGCTGGCTGATTGGCTTATCGTACAAAAAGCTATTGTGGATGACCGTGTTAGTCTGCTGAATAGCTAATATGTCTGATCTAAAGAATCTGTCATGTCCAGCTGTCATGCAGAGGGCTCCCATGCCCAGGAAATGCTCACGAGGTAGCTATCATGAAAAAAGGATGCAAGTTGAGTTTGTTAATTCCCAAACCTTTTTCTTTGCAGGTCTTGGTGGAGGCACATTTTTTCTGCTGCTACTGCTGTTGCCATCAGAACCAAGGCATCCATCCAGGACCACACAACATGAATGCGGTGGTGGGGTGGGCCCTGCAACAGGGCATTTACTGAAAACAGAACCTATAAGTTTCTGTTTACCTTTGTGCCGTTCTGAGACCTCTCCGAGACTCTACTCCTACTCCTAGGCCTTGCATTCAACAGAAACCAGTGCCACTTCTTCCATACTTACCTCACCTCGTTATTTTATTTCCTTCTTTCTCTCTTTAAAGCCCGGGTACAGCATGGTAATTTTCAAGTTCAAGATTCTTAAAACAAGGTTACCCTACTTGTTTTGAAGAAACTCTCGCAACCCCAGGCAATCGTCCTGCGACAACGGAACCCGAGTGCCCAAAAACAGAACTGACGCGATGATCGCCAACCATATGCACTGTTCACCATTCACATAACTTGCTTACCAAGTCTTACTCATAGACTAGGAGGCTCCAAGGCAAAAACTAGCGCTAGTTGGCAAAAGCGAGTCGTTGTTAGGGCTTTTTTTTTGTGCGGAACAAAAAATAGGTATCCACCTCAACCATCTTAGTCAGCACGCTCCGATTTCCCCCTCACGTCGCCGGTCTCGTGTTACAACCCGTTCACCCGCAGCACTTACGTTAGTGAACAATCGTCGCGTTACTCGCGCCTTGCTTTCAAGCTCGCGTCGCACAAGATGCTCTTTTCACACTTGCTGCGGTTCAGCCTCGCGTCCCAATCGTACCGTTTTAGGCACTGGTCGCTCACGCGAATGCCGTACAGGCTCGCCAGACGCGTGATGTCGTTAGTCTCATATGTCCCCCCTCGACGGCTGCTCTTTCCCACGTCATACCGCTTTCCTCGTCGCCCGCAATTTCCCTCATCTCCCTCGCCGACCCTCGCCGCCCTCACCTCTGCTTGTCGCCCGCGCTTCCCGTCGTCGCTCTTGCTTCCCCGTCACCCGTGCTTCCCGTCGTCGCCCTTGCTTCCCCGTCACCCGCGCTTCTTCTCATCTCTCGCTCTCCTCCTCAACGTCTTCGTTTCCCTCGTCGCCATAACGCCCTCGCTTCTGCCCATCGCCCTCGCCTCCCCACATACCCGCCTCCATCTCCCCCACATACCACCCGCCTTCCTCCCCACATTCTATTCCGCTTGTCATACGCTCTTCTCCTCTTCCTCCCTTCCATCTCTCCCTCCCTCCCTCTCCCTCTCTCTATCTCTCTTTCTTCGAACCTCTCTCTCACCCTTTCTTCCACCCTTCTTCCTCCTGAGGGGAAGGGACTGAATGAGAGACACAGAGGGGATAGGACAGAAGGGTATGCAGATGTTCTTTTCCCCCACGCGCTTCCCCTCATCGCCCTCACTTCCCCCAAATTGTTGCCCCCTGTCTCTGTTTTTCCCAACCACCCGTTCTCCCACCAGCCCTGCTTCCCCCTTTGCCCTGATTCCTTCCACCCTCTGCCCTGCTCCCCCCCATCCCCTTCCCTGCTTCCCCCTACCCTCTGCCTTACTCCCCCCCATCCCCTTCCTTGCTCCCCCCCACCCTCTGCCCTGCTTCCCCTCATCCCATTCCCTGCTTCTCCCCACCCCCTGCCCTGCTTCTCCCCATCCCCTTCCCTGCTTCCCCCCATCCCCTTCCCTGCTTCCCCCCATCCCCTTCCCTGCTTCCCCCCATCCCCTTCCCTGCTTCCCCCCATCCCCTTCCCTGCTTCCCCCCATCCCCTTCCCTGCTTCCCCCATCCCCTTCCCTGCTTCGCCCCATCCCCTTCCCTGCTTCTCCCCATCCCCTTCCCTGCTTCCCCCCATCCCCTTCCCTGCTTCCCCCCATCCCTTTCACTGCTTCCCCCCATCCCCTTCCCTGTCTCCGTGTTACCCGTTTCCTTGTCCCTTTTCCCTGTGTCTCCCCACCCTCTGTTCTTATTCCTTCACCCTCGCACACCTTACCGCCTGCCGACCTTACCGCCTGCCCACCTTACCACCTCAAATCCTTCCCTTCTCATCCGCGCGCAGGTGTGGCGGAAGGTGCACGTGCTGCCTTGTGCCTGCCGCTTGCTGTCCACGCCTTCCATCCCACCTCTCCCAAACCACGTCTTTTTCTATATGTGCCTCCCCTGCTGGCCCATACCCTCTGCTGATCTGCGCCCTATGAGGCCATGCCCTCTCTGTTCCCCGCCCCTGCATGTACGGAGGGATTGGGAGCTGCTATGCCTAGCAGCCAGCCAGCACTGTGCAGGCAAGGATTCGAACTGGTGGATCATGGGGCAAGGGTAAGGGAGTGTGTTGTGCGGCATGGTCAGTGCGGAGTGGCGTGGGAGGGAGGCAAAATGGCAAGCACAGGGTGAAGGCAGGCAGGGGCCGTGGCAAAAATATGGAGATTGGCAGTGTCAGCAGGATGTGCGGCAGGATGCTGGCGGCAGCGCACGTCAGGGCATGTGCGGTGGGGCAAGGCTGGTCTGTGCTGCGGTGGGTCAGGGGAGTGCAGATTGGTGCAGGGAAAGGCACGACATGTTCCTGTGTGGCCAGCCGAGACCCTTATGAGTTGCGGGATCTGAGCTTGAGAGTGTACGCTTGGAAATGCATTACTAATGTGTTTCTTGATATGTAATTTTCATGATTCACAATTTGCTTTTCTATGCCAATTCAGCACTTAAAATTTTTATGTTATTCTGAAGTGAAGTCTCAAACTTATCCAAATATTTTAGTCGATTAGTAATCACAGGAAATATTGTTCAGTGTACTTCCTCACTCTTACTCGCGTGAGTTTCGCGTTCCCCACCATTTCAACCCCAAGAGAAGCGCAGTGTGCCCCACCAGTGCTGGGGCGGGAGCAGTGCTCTGTCGCACACTGGGTCGTTCAGCCCTCCCATATCCTCGGGGACAGCTGTCGCATAGTATCGTGGCGAAGACTGTTTTTCCTGCCTCCTGAATTCGGTTTCGCCCCACACACATTTTCGAAATTCATGATTTTCAGGTTTTCGCCTAACTGTTTCAACCCCACATAACTTGAAAAATTACCATGCTGACCTCGGGCTTTGATCATTCTCTCCTTGTACTCTGTCACTGTCTATGTGTGCCCCTTTCACATCTCCACACCCAAGTTGCACCCCCCTCAGTCCCTCTTTTTCAGGATGTTGCCCTTTGCAGTTCGTAATTAAAATCCATCTGCCAGCACCTGAACTTTGTGCAATCAGGATGTCGCCTTCTGATTCTCAGGGTTTAGCCAATTGCCATAGCTATGGTGCTGCAGCTATGGTGCTGCAGCTATGGTGTTGCAGCTATGGTGCTCTTGATGTTGCTGGTGCTGCTGCAACGCACAGAGGAGAGGAGGAATCCCAGTAGTGCTGAACATGGGGTATATGGTGCAAGCTCACAAGTGCTGAATCCCTAGAGTGTAACATGATTAGTACAGGGAACTGCGTGTTTGTGTGTAACGAGTTCATATGCAATGTATCAAAACAGCGCGAAGTGTTGTCTTGTGCCCACCTATTTTCAGTAGTTCAGATTCAGGCTCACCACGATCATGGGAAGTTGGGAACACCCTGGTGGGGTGTCTCCAGAGAGATCTTTTTCACACACGTGCTTCCCAAAAGCAGCAAGCAATGAAGTCAACCACTTTGAAGTTAGTCACTGTGCCTTCAAGACAATTCTGCAGAGCATGCAGGTGGAGCATGCAGGGGGGGCACCAAGAGGCACTATCAGCCATTGGCAACTCACCTCAACTCATACCACTGTACATGCTTAGGAGTTTCAATCGCTACTCAAACCCAACAAGAACAGCAACACCTTAGTCCCTCTGGCTGAGCATGCACAAGACAGGCGAGGCTACTCGCCAGCAACGTCTGTCCTCAAGTCGTACATTCTATCAAAGCCAAGTTCCTGCTCCTCGCTAACACTGCCAATCGCGGTCTCACTCCCCTTCACCCCTAAGAACCGCAGCAACTTGAGGTCGGTCAAGCCCTCTGGCAGCACCTGCAACTGCTTGCACTCGCCCAAGTCAAGCCACCTCAGCCTGGTCAGCTGCGCAATGCCGGGGGGAAGGGCGCGGATGCATGTTTCCTCCGCGTTCAGCTCGTGAAGGCATGAGAGGCGGGTGAGGGAGGCGGGGAGGCGCTGCAGCGCTGAGCAGTGGCACAGGCGCAGCCTCCTCAGCCTGGATAAGGCACCCATGCCATCCGGGAGTGAGGCTAGCTGGGAAGCCCATTCCACGTCCAGCGATGTGAGGTGCCGGAGCAGCGTGATGGTCTCTGGCAGCTCTGTCAATCCCTTGGTGATGTGCAGCCGCAGCTGCCGTAGCTGCGGCAGGTCGCACCCGAGCTCGCTTGGAAGCCTCTGAATCAGTTTCGCGAACGAGATCTTCAAGAATCGAAGCTGCGGGAACTGAAACCAAGGGAATGGAAACTGCTCAACGGCCTCTCCAATGGTTGGATCCAGAAACTCCACATTCTCCAGATGTTTCAGATGATGCGGTGAGCTGCTGCTGGTTCCGGCTGCTCATTGCCCTGTCCCCTCCAGCTTCAGAGTCAATCTCCTTAAATTCGTCAGCATGTAAATATCTGGCAGGGAGGGGACTTGGTGGGAAAGCTCTAGGCTGAGGACCTAAAGAGAGCGAGGCAGGAAGTGTGGAGGTTCAGTGAGCATGTGACAACCTATCAGCTCCAGTTGATTGAGCCTCTTAGAATTGTCCAGGCTCCCTGCAATTGAAGTGAGCTGGTAACAATACTCGATTGTGAGAATCTGAAGGCTGGTGAGAGCTGTGAAGGACGCCGGAAGCTTCCTGATTGGGCATGAACGGATGCTGCTGCAGGTTACTCAGCTTGCCTAGATCTTCAGGGAGGTCTTCCTCCATCAGGCAACTGTGTAGTTCAAGCCGAGTCAAGGAAGTCAACCGGAGGAGTGAAGGCAGGAGCTGATCCACAGAAACAGTCCTTAAATAGAGTGTATGCAGTTGAGGGAACCCTACAATGCAGTCTGGAATCGAGAAATCGTACTCTTTCAAATCCAAGTGGATGATGCAGAGGGTCTGCAGCGATGTGGGGTTGCAGAATCCGTCAGGCAGTTGCTCGATTTCACCGAAGTCGGTCAGTATGAACGTTTCCAGGGATGTGAGTTGGCAGAAGGAGTCTGGAAGCTCGGGGATATGCAGTCCGTCCAGCACCAAAGTCTTCAGAACAGGCAGCTGCCCGAAATTCTCGGGCAGGCTGCGGAAATACTCGCAGGTGGAGATGATCAAAGTCTCCAGATTGCTGAGGGAAGTGAAGTTCTCGGACAGCTCAAAAACACAATCGCACTCGCGAATGGAGAGCTCCCGAAGACGCGGCAGCAGCTGTGCAATGTCGTCGGGAATATCTACGTCTTTAAACTGGGAGATCAGCAGCCGCTCGACGCTGCTGCTCGGCTCTTCTGACGGGAACAAGTCAGGACAGCATCCCGCGAAGTCCAGCGACCTTAACTTGGGAAGCTGTGCGATGGGGAGAGCAGCGGAGTCGTCAACTTGCGTTACTTGCGAGATGGAGATGCTGGTGAGGCTGCGCAGGTGAACGAGGCTGGAGAGCTGCTCGCACGTGAGTTTCAGAGATGCGATCAGGAGCGTGGTGAGGGAAGTGAGATTCGCCAGGTCAGGAACTTCTAACGCGGACGCGTCTGTTAGAACAAGGGTGTGCAGAGCCGTTAGCTGGAAGAAGGAAGACGGTAGCTTCGCGTCTGGATGGAGGCAATAAAGGGAAAGCTGCTGCAGCTGAGAGCAACGGCGGAAGAAATGGTCTAAGCCAGATTCAGATATGGGGTGTAAATCTACCCTCGAATCGCGGTGAGGAGGGTATTTGCCCAGCGTATGCGTGATTCAACGTCCTACGTGGAGGGCTGTCAGCTTAGACCCGCATGACGTGGCGAGGTGAGTGAAAAAGCCATCGTTTAGGGTTTCCACGCTGCTGTCGCTCAGATGGAGATGGGTGAGGTTTGCGAAGCAGGCGACGGCGTTCGAAAGGTCCTGGAGAGAAACCACGCTGTTTTTACTGACAAAAAGCGTGGTGACGTAACGCCGAGCGATCCTTCGCCAGCGACGGCAGACGGACGCGATTAGGAGATTTCGCGAAGTGTCTGCGAGGATAGGAGTGGGTAGCGTCTGTAACGGAATCTTATCGTCGTCACGGTAATCGTAGTCGAATATGGGCTGGATGGGTTTATCTACGGACGGATCTGCATAGATATACCTGGGCTCGGGAGTCAGCACGGCCCATAATGCGTCGCTGGCAGATCTGCATGTGGAGGTCGACGGCTGCTGATTGGAGGAGGAATGCCAGAGGATCTTGATGAGGAGCTCGTCAGGAAGACTGTGGATAAGGCAGCGCTGCTCCATTTCCTCACGGGGAAAGGGCTGACGGTGCGAGCCGATGCTAGGAGATTAAGAGGATGGTACGAGAGTGAGCCAATGCGAAGAGAGAAAGCCGATTCGACGCGAGGGAGGTGATGAGGCAAGCGGCATCAGAGGTACTTTATGGCTGTATTCCAAAGCTGTGGAACTTAAACAGCTGGCAGCTGTGACGACAAAGAAAATAGCCGCGAAGCTGGGGTCGAGTTCCGTACCCTGCGCGAAACAAGCAGACGTACTAGGAAATGCGAGTTGTGAAGCAGCAGCAGCAGCAGTAGGAGCAGTCTTCAGCCGAACCATCTTTCCCCCAAATCTCCCTCATCTCGTGTTCAGCAGCGCTGCCGTTAGAAGGCCAGCAGCAGTGAAGTCCAAGAACCGTAACAAAACGTCCGAAAACTTACTGAACCACACTGAACGATCGCAGTGAACAACCAAAAGGGTCTAGGTCGGGAACCAGACGTTGAGTTACCAACAGGTCTGGCAGGCTGTGCCTGGTTGGTTTTGACACGACGAAGCAGTTTACGCTTGTGTGCCGTTGGGTGGTGTGGCACTTTAGTGCAGTACGTTACAGAACATTTCGGTTTACAATAGAGTGGTTGGGAAGGGTTCAGATTTATCAAAAAGATTCAACAGCCGAGCCAGGCCAATCAAGCCAGACCAGAACTTCCCCAACCATCAAACTTGGTTAGTGTGGAGGCTGGTGTTCTCGGCTGGCGTCACTGCCCTCCACTTTCCGTGCCTCTCAGCAGTGTTAGCAAATATTGGCGAACGCCAAAATCGTCGTTTCCATCGCCTCACGGGTTCGTCGTCAGCGCCGACGGAAGAGTGGTGTGCGAAAAGTAGTCGCTCTCCACCAGAGCGGTATAGATGTGCTACCACAAGCTTGCCCTTCATTCGAATACTTGCTCAGCAGTATCTCCGACTCTGACTAGACTGTAGTTGCCCTCCTACCACGCAGCAACTGATATCGCAGGGACTGGTTATAGGACGAATCGCCGCTGCTATTGAGATAGCACTTCACGCTGCTTTCGCGGCCATTCAAATCGACGACTACTTCGTTTTGAACCTTAGATAACGGCGGCCATGTCCATCCTCGCGTGTCCTTTTCACATCAACTCCCTTCCCAACGATCTCTTCATCGCATTCTGCTTTTAATCCGACTCTAATCGCTAACCGCGAGCTCGGCGATGCACTTCGATTCTTAACCGCGGCCCATCATGACGTACTTTCTCGAATCAACTCTCTTCCCGACCATCTCCTCATTCGCATTCTGCGATTCGTCACGGCTCCTCGTGACGACCCGGCGAGCCCGCTCCTCGTCACGGTCCTGCCTGTTACGCACTCGTCTAGAGCTACGATCATCCCGCCTCAGTTCCTGAGAAACCCATCTTCATGATCTCCTCTCGGAAAAACGTTGCTTCTTCGTTCCTGCCTGCTCCGCGCGCTGCGAGCCCCCAGAGTCTAGCTACTATCCCTTCAGCCCGCGCCGAGAACCCACGCCTCGCACCAACTTCTCCCACGCGCTCGTCTGCCGCCGATGGCTCTCCCTCGCGCGCATCGCGCTGCCGTCGCTCCTTCTCGTAACGGGCGACTTCTTGTGCCCCCGCGGGCTCGCCATCTCCCTCTCGCGTTTCCCCAATCTGATCCAACTCGCGTTTTTTTCACCTCGGTGTCCAGGCCGTCACCTATCTCGACGCGGCGCTCCTTCCCCCACTTTTCAAGCTCGCCAACTCCCTCTCGCGTTTTCCCAATCTGATCCGGATTCAACTCCATGTCCAGGCCGTAAGCTATCGGATTCTCGGATTCAACCCGACGCGACGCTCCTTGAACCGCTCGCAAATTCCTGCCCGCGATTAGTCTATCTCGACATAGCGCATGGCCAAGACTCGGACCCGCAGGTGCCGGTGCACACGCGTGGGGGCAGGGAGCAAGGCCTGGAGTACCTGTTTTCCAAGTGCACGCGATTGGAAGATGTACGGCTAGGATGCATCGACGAGATCGAGCTCCTGCCCGAGTCGCTCCTAGATCTTCCGCGCCTCCGCGTGCTGTATCTCCTGGCGCCGAACCTGAAACAGCTGGATTTCTTAAGGCGCGGGGAGGATCTCAGGCCAATCGCAGGGCGCCAGCTGTCCTCCCTCCGGGAACTCGAGTTCCCTTTTTGCACCCGCCTGGAATTTCCCGAAGCGTTCCTCTCGCTGTTGTCAGGGCTTAAGAGGCTCTGTCTTGGACACTTTCTCGGCCTCGTCACTTTCCCCGCCCTCCCTCCCCGCGCATCTTCCTTCGCTCACCTCCCTCTCCTTCGATTGCGGCCGGCTTACCACTTACCTCCCTCGTACAGTGCGAGTTCATAGAGTGTTACCGGCTTAAGAACCTTCCAGCGACCTTCCCTCTCCTCCCTCGCTTAGAGCATCTATTGTTTCACTTTTGCGAGTCGCTGATTTCTCTTCCTGACTCTCTAGGGTTGCTGAATTCGCTGCGGAGGTTAGAAATTGGCAGTTGCGGAACAATTTTCAAGCTGCCCGACTCGTTCACCAACCTGTCGAAACTTGAATGTCTAGAAATCACCGACTGTGAGAATTTTTGGAACTTTCCTTTGATAGACCACTCCCACTTCCCTGCCTTGACCCACCTCCACCTCTCCGCCCTGCCAAATAGCTGTAACCTGCCCGAGTTCCTCTCCCAGCTGCCTGGACTAGAAACTTTCCATCTCCATCACTGTAAGGAAATGCAACAGTTGCCACAATCCCTCACCTCCCTCTCCTTCCTCCACTCTCTCCACCTTGAAGCTCTTCCTCTCCTCTCCTCTCTCCCTCCCAACTTGAGCCACCTCTCCCTCCTGCAAGCCCTACAGGTCTCCTACTGTTGTGAACTCTCCTTACTCCCCTCGCTTCTCCCTCCCTCACTCTCCTCTTCGCCTCCCACTGCTATGGCATCTCTTCCCTCCCGCCCTGCACCGCCTCTCTCACCGCCCTCCGCCCCCTTTCCATCCGCCAATGCAGCCTGTTGCGCCCCTTACTGCCTTGTCTCACTGCTCTCTCCAGTCTGACGGCTATAAGTTTCAAGGATTGTTGGGAGCTTCAGAGCATTCCGGCAGGGCTGAGGGAACTGCTACTGCTGCAGCAGTTGGATTTGGAAGGATGCGAGGAGGTGGAGGGATGAGGCGGGAGAATGGGTGGGACGGTTAGAGGAACGAGAGTGCTTCGGAGCATAGCAGGGCTGAGTGAAATGCCCCCACACTCATATCCCCACTCCTTTCATTCATACCCCCCATCCATCCTCGTATACCCCCACTCCTCTCAATGCCCCCATACTCTCATACCCGATTCTGTCATACCCCCCATCCTCTCATACCCCATCCTGTCACACCCCCAATCCTGTCATGCTCCCTATCCTGTCATACCCCCCATCCTCTCATACCCCCCATCCTCTCATACCCCCCATCCATCCTCGCATACCCCCAATCCTCTCATACCCCCTATCCTCTCATACGCCCCCTTGTCTCATATCGCACACCCCCTTGTCTCATATCGCACGCACCCTCATGACCTACCCTAATCTAACCACAGGTGCTCGCTAATAGTGAGTACCCTGGCTTGCGCTAGCTGCTTGAACAGATCTTCAGGTGTTCCCATCCTGCCCAATCATACCTTGCCCAAGAAACCTCCAGCACCGCAGTGGCACGTTTGAAGGTGCAAGTCTGGAGTGTCAGCAAGTTGTTCTTTCCAAGCAGTAAGTGCCCCAATTTATGAGGCATGAAACTCCCATAATACAAATTATCCATCACAAAACCCTAGACAACTTCTGATATCATCCAACAACAACTGTATTCAGCTCTTGCATGACTGCAAGGCCGTATTACATACATATCTCTCATGCATACCTGCTGTATATGCGGTACAGTACATCTGGAACTAAGCGGGAGATACGGTAAGAGGGTTTCAATAAAAGCACCCAAAAGTTCCCAAACGAGATGCTTTCAGGTCCATGAGTCATGATGACTCCGTGGCCCCTGCTATATCCATCTGTACACTTTCCCCCCTCCAGGCAGGTCAACGTTGCCTTTGGCATCACACACCTTGTCACACCCATCAGCATTGAGGAAAACAATCGACTTGAGGTCAGTTATGTCCACTGGAAGAGCCTCCAGCTGCTTGCAATCCTGCAGGTCAAGATCCCTGAGCCTGGAGAGCCTTGAAAAGTCCGGTGGCAGCAAGTGAATGCCGCTCTCACTAGCCTTAAGAGAAAAGAGGCAAGATAGCTGCGTGAGGGACAAGGGGAGAGATGTGAGAGATGCGCATTCAGACAAATCCAGGTTCCTCAGCCTAGATAACGCCCCGATCTGTTCAGGAAGGCAGGCCAACTTCTCTGCATGAACATGCAAGGCTGTCAGTGTCTGTAACTCAGTAATTGACCCTGGAAGCTCCGTCAGCGCGTCAGCACGAAGAATGATGAGCGTTCGTAGGTGCTGCAAGGTGGAGCCAATGTCCTCTGGAAGCTTCTTCATGCTTCCAGCATCCAGGATTGTCAAGCTGCGGAGGTTAGAGAGAAAATTCAGGGGAAAGGGCAACTCTGTTGAACCTTCTGCCACTGCTAGCTCCAAGTGCTTCAAATTAGAGAGGCTAATGCTTACTGCAGGCCCATCTGCAACACTGACGATGCCTAAGCTCAGGTCTTTCAGCCTCAGCAGCAGGGAGACGTCTGGCAGCTGGATAACCTGCTTCTCATTCCGCAAGCTCAGGGTCTCAAGTGAACCTGGCAGACTTGTGGGGGCTTCTGTCAGCTGGTTGCACCCCCTCAGCTCCAACCTCTTCAACCTGGTTAACCTCTCCAAACTCCTGGGAACCGAGACAAGGCTGCTACAGTCACAAATGCTGAGAACTTCAAGGCGCATGC